TATAATAATTTTTGCACAAATTCCAATGGATCATTTGTGCTACTGAATTGTGCCGCAATTTATAATCAGTCTGCGCGATTTTTTTACAGCAGCTGTATTATTATTATTATTATTATTATTATTATTATTATTTCCTTCCTGAAGGACAGCTTTTTTTCCTAGGGCATTACTTGCAAAGATATAAAGAGGGTTTCTCAACCATAGAAATTTCAAGATATGTGGACTTCAACTTCCAGAATTCCCCAACCATTCTCATGCTTCACCTTACAGTTCTCAAGGTTGGGAAACCCTGGTATAAAGGAACATGTATAAAGTCTGCTTGGGGAAAGGGGAATAGTTGGGCTGATTATGAGTTTTGAAAAACCTCTGCATTTCAAGAACACATGTAATAGTGGTTCTCCTTTCCTCAGTCTGAGTACTTATTCAACCAAGACCACCACATCTTAAACAATGTGGAAAGATTTCTCATAACAACATAAATCCCTCTGATCTCATCCAGAGAACTGAATTGTTGGAAGAAATATCCAGGTCCAGGTCCAATCTGGGAGAAAGGTACTGGAGACAAAATGGAGGCTGGAGGCTAATTGGAAAGAGTGTCCATTTATTGATCAACAGAAGCACATGTTTGTGGTTCTGCTGCAGTTCCTGATATGGAGTTGAGAGTACGGGGGGGGGGGGGGTTTTTATACCTTCTCTTGGGCTTTGCACTTGAGCTTCCTGTTCCTGTGCAAGAACATGCATTCTATTGGCTGTTGTCAGACTCCTATGGGGCCGTGTAGGAGTCATGTTTGTCTGAGCTAAGATTGGTTGAAGTTTGGACTGCTGATGCAATCCAAACCCTGGAGCTGGAGGTCTTTTGTCTTGTAGATAGGCTGGGCCAGTTTTTCTTAATGGGCACCAAATATCTGCTGAGGGAGGGAGTTGCTTTCTGTATTTAAAACATGTTGGGTTTATTAATCATCCAGAAAATATAATATTCTGACTTTTTAAATATTTCCCAAAATATTTCATTCTTCTAAGAGAGGAGCGGGTGCTAAATTTTTACAGAATGATGCAAAATTCAGGAACATCCAATTACCTCATGGGCACAAGTAACCTTTCCAAATTTGTGGGTATTATAGATTGGTTTTCCAGGAGAAGAGGAACATTCTCAACAGTAAGAACATCTCTTAGCTGTGAAAGGAATTCCATTCATTAAAGTTTCCTATGGCTGGCTTACTTACTTATCCCATGAAACAAAGGGGACCAGGACTTCTAGAGAATAGGGCTCACTGTCAGAGGCGGTATTCTGCCAGTTCTCCCACTCAGACGTCATCACGGACGCTCCGCACATGCGCAGAGGGTTGTGCGCATGTGTAAAACCACAGCACGCGAGTGAAGCACACACTGCTGGTTACGAACCAGTAGCGAAGGTAAGAGAAAACCATGACTGGTCACAGTGGTGATTTAAGAGCATAGAAATCCAGATTGTAGTCCATTCTCAGTTTTGGAAGCTCCATGAGGGACCTGGGGACCAGCCACTGCCTCCCAACCAATCACATCGGGCTGATGTGGGGAAGAATATGAGAAAGGAAAACTGTGTAAGCTGCTCTGAGCTCCAAGAAGTATAAATGAGCTAACAGGACACAAGTTACTCCTCCCACAAAGCCTGGGACTCCACTGATTTCCCGGCCCTTGGTCTCTCCCCCCACCCCTCACAGGAGAATCGGGAAGTAGGTGATTGGCGGAAGAATATCGATGCTCTGAGCGGCATGGAAGGGCGCAAGAAAATATTTGAGACCTCGGTCGCAGGGCAAGCCTGAGGCACGCAAGGTGAGAGAAATTCCTTCGGGGATGTATGTGTGAAAATACAAATAGTCCTCAGCTTACAGTCATTTGTTTAGTGACCATTTGAAGTCACAGCAGCACCTGATCCTCACACCTACGACTGTTGCAGCATCCTGGAGTCATGGGATTGCCATTTGTAACTTTCCCAGCCGATTCCCGACAACGAAAGTCAATGGGAGAAGCCAGATTCAGTTAACGACCCTGTGATTCACTTAGCAAGTGCAGTGATTCAATTAATAACCATGGCAAAAAAAGATTGTAAAATAAGTGTGACTCACTTAACAACTGCCTTGATTGGCAGAAGAAATGTTAGTCCCAATTGTGGTTATAAGTCGAGGAATATTTGTGGATGGGTTGCTTGCATATTTACGTTAAAGGATAGATGTGATGGCTAGTCAAATCCAAGACCATCACTGCTATTCAGATATTGCAACTAGAAAAAGGCCTCTGCCCTCCCAGATGTTTGTCTCTACGTTCAAAAATGTATATGGCCACCCACCTGGTGATATATAACTCACAAGCAATAAAATAATACAACCAAGGATCAAAAAAAAAAATCAGCTGCCCAACCCAACAACTGCACCAGGGGTGGGTTCCTGCCAGTTCTAACCTCTTCTATAGAAGAGGTTCCACAAATCTACAGTGCCGTTTAGAACCGGTCCCAGCTCCCTCCCCCCGCCCGTCTGCACATCATCCAGATGAAGAGCCAGAGGAGGAATTCTGGGAGTTGAAGTCCACAAGTCTTAAAGCTGTCAAGTTTGAACACCCCTGGGTTTTTTTTTTCTAAAGGGTTAGGGGTGTAAGGGTCTTGTAACTTGACAGCTTTAAGACTTGCACACTTCAATGCCAGAATTCCTGAGCCAACATTTTGGTTGCTAAGCAAGAGTGTTGTTAAGTGAGTTTCACCACATTTTACAAGTTAGCCATGCCCACCCGGTCACATGGCTGCCAAGCCACTCCCACCCGGTCACATGGCTGCCAAGCCACTGCCACAAAGCAGGCCACACCTACAGAAGAGGTTCTAAAAAATTTTGAAACCCACCACTGAACTGTACCCATTCATTTCTACAATATTTGGGCTCCAACCTTCCTATTTTAGCTTTTGGGAGCCCATGCAGCTCTTCAACAGTGGTATAACATGGGCAAACTGAGGGATGGCCATTACAGTGTGACCTGCCATTTCAGGACCAGTCGTAATTTCCAAATGGTCTCCAAGGGCAGCCCCATGTAAAGAGTATTGCAGTAATCCCGTCAGAAAGTCACTAAGCCATGAGTGACCATATTTTAGTTTGTTCTACCCCAGCCTTCCAAAATTCAGAGTCCTCCAAATAGGTTGGCTTAGGACACTTAAAATTCCTATCCAATTTTTCAATACTACTGGTAGTCCTCGACTTACAACAGTTCATTTACCGCCAGTTCAAAGTTACAACAGCACTGAAAATAATGACTTATGACCATTTTCCACACTTATGACGATTGCAGCACACCGATGATTACATGATCAAAATTTAGATGCTGGGCAACTAATTCATATTTGTGACGGTTGCAGTGTCCTGGGATCATGTGATTACCTTTTATTATGATCTTCTGACAAGCAAAATCCATGTGGAATCCACATTCATTTAACAACCCTGTTACTAATTTAACAACTGCCATGATTTACTTAAGAAACGTAGGAAGATGGTCATAAAATGGGGCAAAAATCACTTACCCGCTATCTCAGCAACAAAAATGTTGGGCTCAATTGTAAGTAGAGGACTACCTATATCCTAACAGTCCTTATGATTCCCAACAACGTTTGCTACATTAGTCCAATTTAGCACAATAATCCTAAGTCTGAAGAATTTTAGAAAAGTGCTTTTCTTCTGGGTGATACGAGGTTGCAGAGACCCTTGGAAACTATGACATGGGTGTTTAGAACAGTTTTCTAAACTTTCCCGTATCTTTGTCTCCCCACCCCACCCTTTCTTCCCCTTTTTTTTCAGGTGTGGTTTCCTGTGTGATCTCTGCTCTGTAGATGCTATCAATCCCTTGTGAAATCTCATCCTCCGACCACGTTCATCATTGGAGCAAAAACCTCACCTTGGAATTTTGTTCTCTATAATTTCCCTTCCTGTTGCTTTGGGGAGCATATTAACTCTGACCCTCCTCACAAGAACAATGCGTTTAAAACTTGGAGTATGCATGCTTGTATCGATAGTACAAGCAGCAGCTTGGGTGCCATCAGAAATGCTGCAGAGGATATGCGTTAGACATGGGGTCGTCCGATCTTGAGAACTTAAAACACTTAGACTTCAACTCCCAGAATTCTCCAGCCAGCCATGATGGCTGGGGAATTGTGGGAGTCGAAGTCCACTAGTCTTAAAAGTTCCCAAGGTTGGAGGTGTCCTGCTTTAGATCTTGAATTTGCTCAGTGCCTCTCTGTTCTCATTAAAGCAGCTCAATTCTTCTTTCAGGATTCCACACTAACAGGAAAAATAAAGGAGTTGCTGCTTTAAAGGTGGCGTGAAGAATGGATCTCTTTTAAAGCGGGGGGCGGGGAGGATTTCTTTTCTTTTTTTTAAAGTTGTTGCTGAGATTTTGCAAGAGTTGGGTTTTACATGGTTGCGCTACTTCAGTCAAGAGACGAGAGATGCTGTGTTCCTTTTGCAAAAATAATCCCATTAACAAGCAAAAGCAATTTCAAAACATACTAATAGTAGGATGATCCTATCTAAACAATTGCGGCCACTAGATGGCTGTCAAGAGTTAAGATTTGGAGCATCTCTTTGCTACAACCTAATGGTGGGATGGTTTGTTACAGCTCAAATACAGTACAGGTAGTCCTCCACTTATAACAGTTCATTTAATGACTGTTCGCTTAAGGTCTCACTTAAGACCTTTGCAACATTCCTATGGTCACGATCAAAAACTCAACTGGTTCATATTTATGACTGTTGCAATGTCCGGAGTCATCGTATCTCCTTTTGTGTCCTTCTGACAAGCAGACTCAATGGAGATTCACTTAACAACTGTGTTACTAATTTACCAACCACAGCGATTCACTTAACAATTGTGACAAGAAAGGTCATAAAATGAGGCAAAATCCACTTAAGAAATGTCTCGCTTAGCAACAGAAATTTCGGGCTCCATTGTGGACATACGTTTATGACCATTCTAAGTTACATCGACACCGAAAAAAACTGACTTGCAACCGCTCCTCAGAGTTACAACTGTTGCAGCTCCCCCTGGTCACAGGATCAAAATTCGGTCACGTGACAATTTGCATGTATTTATGACGTTTGTAGCATCCTGAGGTCATGTGATTGCCATTTGTGATCTTCCCAGTTGGCTTTTGACAAGCAAAGACAATGGGGAGGCCAGATTCACTTAACAACCACATGATTTGCTTGACAACTGCAGTGATTCACTTAACAACCACAGCAAAAAAAAGATTGTAACAGTAGCCTTACTTAGCATCAGACATTCCAGTCCCAAGCATGGTTGCAACAGGACTACCTATATGCTTCTTGATATGAACAATTGGCCTAGTACAGGTAGTCCTTGACTTATGACCTCTGTTGCTAAGTGAGACATTTGTTAATTGGGTTTTTCCCCATGTTATGATCTTTCTTGCCACAGTTGTTAAGTGAATCGCTGCTACTGTTAAGTTAGTAACACGGCTTTTAAGTGAATCTGGTTTCCCCACTAACTTGGATTGTTAGAAGGTCACAAAAGGGGATCACATCACCCTGGGACTCTGCAACCATCGTAAACATGAGACAGCTGCCAAGCATCCGAATTTTGATTACTTGACCATGGGGAGGCCGCAATGGTTGTAAGTGTGGAAAAACGGTCATAAGTTGTTGTTTTTTTCAGTAACTTGGAATGGCCACTGAATGAACTGTTGTAAGGCGAGGACTACATGTGCATGCCTGTGTGCACACTTGTACTTTTTTAAGGGCGCCTTTTAAGGCTGGTGTATGCACAAAGAGAAATTGCTGTCAAAGAGCGTTCTTCTTTACAATTCTGGTAAGGTCCAGGGGCACTAGAGCTTCCTCTTGACCTGTGGCATATGGCCGAAGGTCCTTCAGGTCCTCCTAGCAGGCAGGCATCGAAGGGATGGGTCAAAAAGACCCCACCACCACCAAAGCCCACTTCTTTTTAGTGCACAAACAGCCATCTTGACTTTTTTGACCACCCTCTCCCTGCAATTGCCCCTGTCTGGATGTGTGCTTCACTCTTACTTAGGAAGGAAGGAAGGAAGGAAGGAAGGAAGGAAGGAAGGAAGGAAGGAAAAAAAACCTGTGCCATCCAGTCAATTCTTTTCTAGCTACCATAGTTATATTAAGGGGTGTTTTAGAAAAGACCACAATGCTCTTTTGCATGGTGCTCCAGTCAGGATGTTGTCCAATCACCAATGGCTAAAAAGTTGCCCATTTTACGGACCAACACTACCACAGTTCTTCTCCAGGGCACCTTCCCCCTTAGTACCCAAAGGAATGCAGTTGGATCCTGCATTTTGCTTCCCGATTCTGATCACTTTCACTTTCTTGGGAATTCCCGTCAGTTTATTTTGGGGAAACCAACCAACCTTTGATCCATTGGCAACGGGAATTGGCTCTTTGTCTAACATATGGCTCCAGGATATTTCCCTTGGCAGATGCCAGCTTTCTGTACCACATGAGTTTTGGGATTAAGATTTATTAAATGCTAGTATTTTGCAACAGCTTCTAGCCTCATCTCTATCTGCAGAAAATATTCCTTGGCCCAATACAGACAATATAAATGGTGGCTGTTCTAAGCTCAGTGTTCTGACCCAGGCTTCCCAAGAGCCTGAAGCAAACTCCTTGTCCCGACAAAAACCCCTTTTGTTAATTGACTGTGAATTCTGCTCATTCACATCCAGCACAGTCTTTGGAGGGAAGATGTACAGTCATAAACCTTATCTGTCTTGGAGATCTGACAGGCCGATATCTGCAAAACCTGGCAAGGAGTCTCGGAGAGTCACAAACCAATTAAGCGAACTACTTGTCTCCTGCAAACTCCACTCCCCTTTCGCTCCTCTTTTATTTCCTCTGGGAGGGGCCATTCATTGTCCACCTTTGGCCATATTCCCGAGTTGACCCCTGTTCTTTAGCTGTGCCTTCATCTGACAACTGTGTATGTCTACACTGAGAACAGGCAGGCTCCAGCTGTTTGTCTGCTTCACTGATGTCTGACTCTGAAGGCAGCTGATAAATGGCTGCCCTCTGGCCCCCTCTCTGCCTCTGATACAGAGCCCTCATCAGAGCTTTCTCCAGACTCCAGGACTGGCCCATGTTCCTCCCCAACCTCCTCACTGTCCGAATCTGCTGCCAGCTCTGCTGGCCACTGGTGGGCCACAACCCTCAGTCTTGGTTTGGAAAGATGCCCCACCCCCACCCAGAGAGAACTAGCATTAGGCACTGGATTAGGAGCTGAGAGATCCAGCTTCAAGTCCACCCCCAGCCCTTCAGTGGGTGACTTTGAGCCATTCTCAAGGTTGTTGTGGACAGAAATGGGGAAGATGGAGAACTGTGCATGTCATCTTAAACTTCTGAATGGATGGAAATCCAGCAAATAAAGAAATGAAAGACTAAAGTGAACTGGGAATAATGGGGGCCTTTCGTGGAGGCTGGTAGGAAGCAATTTGGTGAAAGCAGCACCCACAAGGCTTACACCAGACATAAGGATTCTGAAACTACAATGGGTTGGAGGAGGATCAAACTCTGCGGTGGAATGATGGTCTTTGGACCTTAGATGTCATATCTTGTACAAGAGCCATTGGAAGCAGTATTGAGTTGATGGAATTGAATTCTGACTGATGACTTCTGAGTAACTCCAAAGTAGTAGGAACCCTGCCTGGGAGGGGTATCCACTGGAGTGAAGAGCGGTGTCAAAATGGTGGATATGATGGAAGCCCCGCCCCTTTTGAACATACCTGAAACACCAAAAGAGTTGAGGATTCTCTTGCACCATTGGAACGGACTGACTTTTTTGCCCTCCCTGCAAACGCCCTCTTTTTTCTCACTAATTCTTGTTTGCCCAATGAAAACATTTCTAAGAATTAGCTTATTTGCCATCAATTAATTAATTCTTTTTCTTTTTTTAAAAAAAAGACTTTTATTTGTGTTCACATTAAAAATACACCATTCACACTTCAGCTCACTGATGGTTAAACGATGGTCACAATTAATAGCACAAGGAAACAGGTATTATTTTTTTAAAAAAAATTGTAGAAACAGAAAGAGAATACAACAATTTACAGATTTGTGTCAGTGAATTGTCAATTGTGAATTGGCATATAAATATAATAAACAAACAACAGGGCAACATGTTTGACCAGACACATCTGCTTTTGAAACACACACAGCAGAGGCACATTCTTTTAATGACAATGTAATACAGCTTATAAATAAATAAACATTAATAATCAATGCATATGCCTTTTACTTTGTTTTTCTTATTAGAGTTCTCTCTTTTAAGTGGTCCGATCGCTTACAGGCACAATACAAGCTTTTTTTTCAAAGGCAAATAAAAATGGGGCTGAATGGGGATTTCGGTCTCTTGATTCATAAACCGCATTGTGAGGGAGTCTTTGGGGGATCAAAAGAGTCAAGATGGCAGATGGAAGGCCTGCCTTGTTTTTACATGCAGCCCCCCCCCCCCAACCTCTTTTGCATCCATTGCTATGGCTCATGAATTGATTTTTGCAGAAACAATACTCAAAAAAATATGGAAGAGAAGGATAAATAGATATCAGGCATAAAAATCATGATCATATCTGCAATTCATATTTAAAATTCAGTTGGCTGGTCCTCGCCAGAAAGGGAAATAAATATGCAGGCAGAAAATATACACACATAAATGGTTGCATATAAATAACAATATATAAATATCTCTGCACAAAAGATTTTCACATTACGCCTTCCCTTCCTGCTTCCTTATCTAGCTTACTTCAATAAATAAACCTCATATAATATATAAGTTACTTAAATAGTTGGATAAATAGAAATTAAACCCTTGGAATTTTTCTTTTTTTAAGCCAGCAAGATTAACAATGGGAAACTGTGAAGCTGAAGTGATTCAGACAGTAAAGGAATTCTGTGTCTGTCTTGGGATTTGGGAATCTCACAAAGCAATCGCATCCATCCCTCTCATCATTCTGCTCCTTTGCCCTGATCTGTCTTCCTCATGTTTACTCTTCATATTAATGCAGTAAAATAGAGATGTTTGAGCTCGTCTCCTGCTCTATCTGAAGGCAAAACTTGGGCTTCTCAAGTCCTGATTTTGACCCATTATGTTGAAGGGATCAGCCGACTCTATGTCATGTACCTGTTGAATGTATTCGTAGTCCATAATCATGGGTTCAAGGGGAACCTTGTTTACTAAAGGTAAGAACTGGGAGAAAGGGGGCAGCTGACGGTTCTGGGACAAATTCTCCATCATGCTGAGGCTCACGGGAAGATTGTAGGCCTCTGAATAGTACACGTTATAGCCATCTCGAAGAACCATCTCACGGAAGTTACACTCCTGTTCTGAGTAGGACAGCTGCAAAGGGAAGAGATCGCTTGGATTATTAGGTCTTCAAGAATGCAGAGCCTTAACAGACAGCCAAGAATAAAGAAACAAAAAGAACTTTCATTTATCTCTGATGAGGCTAGGCTTAAAGTTAGTTTATTGTTATCTGGCTCCTATAATTGCTTCCTACAGTATGTATTAAATTCTCTTGTGTCACATTAAAAAAAAAATACAATCAAGCAGCAATTGCTACATCACAGATTTCGGATATCAGCAACCATTTGACATTACAACGGACTCTAAAAATGGGACTTTTGACCCCGTTCCAAATGTACCTGTCACATGATTGCAATTGGGTACTTGGCAACTAGCCTGCATTTATGTATGGTGTTCAGCAAAAACTGGCCCAGAGCAAACAGGGTTTGCTTAACAACTGCTGCAAAAAGGGACATCAAATCAGGTCCAGTCACACACAGTGAACTGCTTTATGACTGTCATTATATAGGATGGTAATTGCAGGCTCTATTATGGGCTTAACTCTAGGACACAGATGTCAAACTTGATCAGGTCATGTGACATGTCATGACGTATCGTGACGTTTTTTGCCTTTGCAGAGCCAGGATGGGTGTGGCCTGCACATAATTCATCCGGCCCGTGGGCCACCAGTTTGACATCCCTGCTCTAGGACTACCTATTGCCAGGGGATTGCACAACAATTATCTGTGCAAATTGAGAATAGAATCAGATTGAGAATGGGATCGTACCAAGTTGGTACGCTTGAGGGGAAAAATTTATCCAATCTTCTGCCATCACCTCTGTTATATGATGTCTTGTAGCTTCAGTTACCCAGGTACTTCCTACTGTTGCATTTTAAGCTAAGACAGTGATTTCCATAGGTAATCTTTTCCACTGTCAGACAATTCTTATCACCAAGAACTTTCTCGAGGCATCTAGTCAAACCTGGCTGTGCACAATTTTCGCCTACAGAATTAACTCAGAGAAATTCAAGGTCATATAATCCACAGGTATACGTAGTCCTCGACTTATGACCACTATTGAGCCCAAAATTTCTGTTCTTAAGTGAGACATATTTTAGGTGAATTTTGCCCCGTTTTACAAACTTTCTTGCCACCATTGTTACGTGCATCACTGCAGTTGGTACGCTAGTAACTTAAGTGAATTTGGCTTCCCCATTTACTTTGCTTGTCAGAAGGTGACAAAAACTGATCACATGACCTTGGGACACAGCAATGGTCATAAAGATGAACCAGTTGCCAAGCATCTGAATTTTGATCACGTGAACCATAGGGATGCTGCAAAGGACATAACTTTGAAAAACAGCCATAAGTCACGTTTTTCAGTCCCGTTGTAACTATGAACAGTCCTTAAACAAACTGCTGTAAGGACTACCTGTAATTCAGCCCTATATACATTGCTGTTCCTAAGCTAGGCATTCAAGCGACCCCAAAATACAAATTGATTCCAGCTAAAGAAATGCTATTTTCATTGCTCAGGGGTTATATCAATATAAGTGAATGTAGCGTTATATGAGTGTGCAGTTTCCCCACTCAGGCTGGGAATTTGGCTTGAACTCTGCAGTGTTAACATCTTTACCATTTGTTTATTTGCAACATTTATATCCTGAGTATCTGCCAAAAGTTTCTATTTCTATGCACTGCAGTCAATTTGTTGCAGCATACAAATTCAAATTTCAGAAGTCAAAAAAGTTCAGATTGAAGAAGGATAAAGTTTATTCCTCAGTTATTTTTACTAGGTATATGTACTGACTTTACAGTGGTAGAGACCAATTTGATTCTGCACCTGATAACTGCAGCAAGACTGTTGGTGGCGCAATATTGGAAGAAGGAAGACTTGCCTACAATCCAAGAATGGACATTGAAAGTAACAAACTTAGCCGAGATGGCTAAAATATCGGCATATCTCAAAGATCATTCAAATGAGAGATATAAACGAGACTGGAAAAAATGGATTGACTATATACAAAATAAATACGGGACTAAGAAATTCCAGTTAGCCTATGCTTAAGATCAGAAATGATTTAAACTGTCAAAAGTCAGTTCAGTAAGAAGAAGCTAAGGTCAATCTAGAATGTCATTAATTTCTTTATTTCTTTTTTCTCAATAGATTTTAGACTGTGTTAGTTAAAAATCCATACCGTGTACGGGTTCTGGGAAGTCGGGGGGGGAAGGGGGGGGGGGGGGGGAGGGAGGGAGGGGTATACACAACAAAAAAAAATTGTACTTCAATGTCTTAATGATTGACAAATGATGACATATTTGTGTTTTTTTTAAAAAGAAAAATAAAAAAGTTCTGTTTAAAAAAAAAAGATTGCAATTTGCAACCTGTTTTATCCCCTTCGTTTTCATAAACACAATGATTCAAAATAATAAATATTTATTCAAATAGTTTTTCTCCCTTCACAAAGTATTTCTGTTTCACTGGCCCGGTAATTAAACGTTTAACTCAAAAACACACTCCTGTTATTATGAGTGTTTTTTACCTAGCTCTAGTTAGTAGCATGCTAAAAAACCCATGACCTGCTGGGTTATTGTTTCAGAGATAAATTCTAACCCTCAATATCTTCAGCAATGACAGACCTTATAATAATATATTTGAAAAGTTCTTAAAAATCTAGGGGGATATTCAGTGTTGCACCTCCTTTCAAAGGGGCCCATGCTGAACTGCAGAACAGTCAAACATCAACACAGGAAAAGTTTTATGACATTTTGTTTGATGTCATAAAATGCTTCATGGCAATTTTTAGATCTTAAAATGTTATTTTTCCAAATTTCAGTTTCACACGAGCTCTAATCTGGGACGCATTCTAGAAGTTAGCCCATTTCAGATAACTTGGTTGAAAAAGTTTTACTGCATAATGTATCGTTTCATCCAATTAAGGGTTACAGAATGAGAGTTTTATTTTATATATAGATGCAGATAGTCCTCGACTTACAACCATTCATTGAGTGACCATTCAAAATTGCAATGACACTCAGAACTGACTTACAACTATCCCTTGAACTTACATCACTTGGCAACCAGTGTGCATTTCTGATGGTTGCAGGCAGGATCCTGGAGTCAACATTTGCGACTTTCCCAGCTGGCTTCTGGCAAGCAAAGTCAATGGGGAGGGAAGCCAGGTTTGCTTAATAACCACATGGTTCATTTAATGCAGTGATTCCCTCAACAACCATGTGAAAAAAATGTAATAAAATTGAATGTGGCTTGCTTAACAAATACCTTGCTTAACAACTGAAATTCTGATCTCTGTTGTAGTTGTAATTCGAGACACTACCTATAACATACACATCTGAGTATATGAAGGACCCCCTTTTTCTGATTATTATATATATATGACATAGTATTACTGTATGTCTCAGTTTTTATTTCTACTTAATTTCTTTTTTATATTGTGTTTCAACTGTTTTAATTGCTTTTACGAATCACCATCCAGAGTCGCCAGTTTCAGAATAGGCAGCTATGCAAACTGAATGAATAAATGAATGTAAGGGACTGCAAACATAAAGGCTGCTATGTCTTTAAAAAGAAGACAGACAGCTTCTTAATGGATGTCACCACATTTTAGTTTGTCCCTAGAAATGTAGGCTTTTTATTATGATTTCAGAATATATTCACCAATCTATTAAGTTCCCCCAGCATCAAGAACATTAAAATGGTCCAGTCTGCAAGAACAGTTTGCTTCTGATTTTAATGAAGTACTATCACATATTATTCTTGGTGTGTATGATTTTGAGGGTGCAAATTTAATTTGTGAATGAAAACAACTCGGCTATTTCTAGAAAACTCCTTTGCCGGTGTTCTGAATGGCAGACTTAAAATTTTGGCCATATAATGTGTGAGATGATCCCAAAAAATGCATATTTTGGAAATGGATGAACTCATAATCAGACAGATGGATCTTTCAATGTATAGCTTTATTTTACTACATTGATCCTTCACTTTAAACCAATGTTTATTCTTTAGAAATTCCCAGTTGTGTGGACTTCAATTCCCAGAATTCTCCAACCAGCATGCTGGCTGGATAATTCTGGGAGGAAGTCCACACATCCAAAAACTCCCAAGATTGAGGAACATTGCTCTCGACACAGAGACATAACCCAGATAATTATACTTACTGAGCCATATAGATGTCCTTCAGAATCCATGCAAAGAAATCTAGAAGTTTTCGTAGCTAATATACGAATGATCCCCAACTTCACTGCTTTGATTTCCATCAAACCTGCAGATAGGTGGGGAAAAGAATGAAAATTACTTGTGAAAAATGAGAACTCTTTAGATTGTTTATAACCCTAATAGCCATCAACCTCTTCAGATCCTTTTTCAGTCTTGATGTGTAACATCTGTAGAGTATAATATAATCTGTGGGCGGCCACCAGAACACCTTCTACGGTTCCTGTTTCTACTACTTGTTATATACTCTGAAAGTTTAATGTGACCATCTGCAGCGGAGGACAAAGTTAACATTTGTTTTACAGATAACACATGTGTTAAGAAGCTACGTGTTCTGAAATGTCCTCTTTCTGAAAAACCATATTTCATGACCTATTACCCAATCCTTCCCCACAGAACCCAGCTGACTGTGCCCCAATTCCACATATAAAACTCATTTGGAGGAATCCAGAGTGATTAATTTCCCAAATACTCACTGAAGGCGTTCTGGTATTTGGCGCCACGCACCGTCCCATCTGAGAAGATCTCCAGGTGGAGCTGGGTCCGTTCATTGGCCGTGTAGAGATGGCGAAGCCGGACTTGCCCATCAAACTGGTACAGAGGGTTGGAATCTGGCACTGGGGAGGCCACAGTCCTGGGGACTAACACAGCCCAGAAGAGCAGGTTAATGGGAAGCAGGAAATAACCGCTGCGTTGGAGAAGAACTGAAACGGACAGCATCACTCAAGGATGGCGGATCCAGGCAAAATGTAGTTCTGGGATGGCAGAGATAGTCTTGCCCTCAGAAGAAATTCAAGGAGGAACTCAAGGTTCGAGTTTTGCCAGTCACTGGATTCTATTGTTTTGAGGAAAGACTATAGAGAATTCTGGATTCCTGCCCTTATTGGTCTCACCCAGGAATTATGTCCAGAATTCACAAAGAAATGCAGTCCAGAACTTCTGAAGGTTGTTATTGGGATGGGATCTGATCTTCCAGTCACCCAATCAATGGGAATAATCGGGATAAGGAGAGTGTCTTCCTTCTTGCTCTGTCTTGTGCCAAGTTTTGCTCCAAATCAGCAAACTCACCAATATATATACACACATGCTCTACAACGGAGGTAAACGACCTTCCCCTTGACTTTTGCCTTGCCTACAACTCTCCGCCCACTTCCATTTCCCCACACACACTCACCAGGTTCCCCAAGGGTGAGTCACGGGGTGCCTCTTGCTCCTACTGCTCCTAACATGGGGTCACGAGGAATGGATGCCAAAGTCTAAATATTATCATTCTGCAGCTGCTTTCAAGCTACCGACAGGAAAGGGTGATGTAACTTAGGGAATACAAGAAAATGATGGCCAGGAGGGGGGAGGGAAGAAAGGGGAGGGAGATGATGGAAAGGCTATGATTGCCTCGGCATCCTGGAACTGCTCTCTTAACTTTTCTAACCTGTCCTGTGATTCTATTAATCTTTCTAAATATGTGTGTCTCTTGACTCTGGACTCAAGCTGTTGTCAGCTGTAGGTGCAACCATACTCTGTCTCTGTGAAACTCTCCCCCAGCCCTTATTCTGCAGAAACAGATCTCATGCTTCAGATGCCAAAGACCCCTGGCTCAGTTCCTGAACATCCAGAGGTTTAGCAGAGCACAAATCCTGCTGCAAACTCTGGGAAGCAAAAGCAGTAGCATTTAGCACTTAGACTCATATACCATTCCATAAGGCTTTACAGCCCTACCTAAGCAGTTTACAATGTCAGTAGATTGCCTCCGGCAATATGAGTCCTCGTTTTACTGACCTCGGAATGATGAAAGTCAACCTTGAGCCAGTCAGGATCGACAGTGAGCAGAGTCAGCCTGCAATATGGCATTGTAACAGAGGCGGGCTGCTCCTGGTTTTACTATGGTTCGCTTCGCGCACACTTTGCATGCGCAGAAAAATTTGCAGTGAACTGAGCGCGGGCATGCACTACTAAGTAATATGGTGGCAACTGCAGTGGCAACCAGGGAACCAGTTTGGGAGAGTGGGCAGCCTGGGTCACTGCCAGTTCTGCAACCCAGGCCAAAATGCCACTACCGGTTCAGCCGAACTGGGCCGAACCAGGAGCAACCCACCTCTGCATTGTAACCACTGTGCCACCATGGCTGCACCTGGACAAGCCAGTTGCCGAGGACAGTGATAGGTAGGTCAGAATCGACTTGTGGATCTCAAGTTGTTGGTCATTTAGTGCCGCTGATCCTTAGATTGTGTCCCCACTTGAAGCTAACTTTGAGATCCTGAGAAATGAAAGAAAGAAGAAACAATGAAGTGGCTTCAGATATTCATCACAACAGTTATAAGTAAAAATATGGTTTAATCCAAGAGTAGTCAACCTTTTTATACCTACCGCCCACTTTTGTATCTCTGTTAGTAGTAAAATTTTCTAACCATCCACCGGTTCCACAGTAAATGGTAATTTATAAAGTAGGGAAGTAACTTTACTTCATAAAATTTATAAAGCAGAGTTACAGCAAACCTCTACCACCCACCATGGAAGCTGGAACGCCTACTAGTGGGCGGTAGGGACCAGGTTGACTACCACTGGTTTAAGCTCTAAAATTACATCATCTTAATCTTCTTTCTATAACGTATCCTACCTAATCATCCAAATGATAAATTTCATTATTCATTTTTATGGAAAAAGTCCATAACAGGCTTCCAGTCACCAATAAATGTTGGTCATGATTTTTCTCTAGTCAAAGAAGTCAATTTATCCATTTCAGAAAAATCTATAAACTTCATCAACCATTCCTCCATAATAGGTAAAGGTAAAAGTTTCCTTCACACATATGTGCTAGTTGTTCCCGCCTCTAAGGGGCAGTGCTTATCTCCATTTCTAAGCCAAAAAGCCAGCACTGTCCAAAGACATCTTCATGGTCATATGGCCAGCATGACTAAACGGCCTGAAGGCACACGGAATGCTGTTAACCCTCCCACCAAAAGTGGTTCCTATTTTTCTACTTGCATTTTTTACCTGCTTTTGAATTGCTAGGTTGGCAGAAGCTGGAACAAGTAATAGGAGCTCACTCTGTTACACAGCGCTAGGCATTCGAACCACTGAACTGCCGACCTTTCTAATCAACAAACTCAGCATCCTAGCCACTGAGCCACTGCGTCCCTTTCCTCCATAATAAGTGGTGTCAAATCATTCCATCTTTGTGCACATAATAATCTCTCCTACGTAACCATATTGAAATAAATATTATTCCCTTTGTTTATTATGACACTTTGCTGGGCAATCTCAAAGTACAAAATACCATTTAGATCCACTGTTGGCTGGATGGAAATGTCTACACCACATGTAGTACAGAATATGACATAAACGGATCCACCATGGCAATTTGATTTTAAAACCCTACATGGATCTGGATGTCTAGAGCAGCGTTTCTCAACCTTGGCAACTTGAAGATGTCTGGACTTCAACTCCCAGAATTCCCCAGCCAGCGAATGATAGCTGGGGAATTCT